TAGCCTTGGTCATAGTAACACTGACAAACATGTTTAAATAAGTGGACAGATAAATATAATTTTGTAAAAGTTGGCATCTTACTAAAAGTTTCGTGTAGATATATATGCATTACAGTAAGACATACAAAAGAACTGACTTGACGCTGAACACAAGTAGGATATAATGGACTTATAAAAGGGTGTAAATGCTATTCAAAGATGCGTTTTCTCAAAAGAGGTTCACAGCCCTAGGTTTCAATAGTTATTCGCATTTGTGATTAAGGCACAATGCGAACTAAACTAACTTCCCTGTTCGTTAACTTTTTCCACACTTATTTGTTTATTTAGATGTGAACAAGAGAAGTTACCAACTGCACCGAGCGGTAAGTTGACCTCTTGTCTATTTTATGTAAGCTTAACAGCTTGAATCCCATAATTTCCTATTGTATAAGTGACATCGACTAAACAAATATATGTAATCGTGAGAAAATTCATTTGTGCAGCGTATTCGCTTAAATTCATTGAATTATTTTGGGTAATATGCTCCATGATCACTCTTCCAACCTTATAATATTAATTATAACTTCTATATATTAATAATATTCTTGCGTGTAAATGTGAGCTATATTCATCTATAGCCTTGATATCATGAAAATACACTCTAGAATACATATTTTGTTATCACTCAAATATTGGACAGAAGCAACCAGGAAGTCTTATTTGATCGAACTTTCTTTATAGCCTAGGACCTCTATTGTGTTTTATCTGTTTTAGGTAACTTGCCACCAAGCAAACTTGGTAATCCAATTCTTGAAGTCACTCTCGAGTCTGGTGATTCTATATACCTTCCTCGTGGTTACATTTTCCAGGCTTCTACCCCAGCCAATTCCTACTCTTTGCATATTCTCATCAGCACTTATCAAAAGCACACATGGGCAAATTTCATCTCCATTTTAATGCCAGCTGCTATAAGACTGGCAAGTAAGTGTGATATGAAGATGCGTGAAGGTCTCCCAGTAGGGCTACTTCGCCATTTGGGTGGATTTATTAGCAGAAATTGTGGTGGTGTTCCAAGGGTAGGTTTAGCAACTTTAAAGTCGCGTCTATTTTTTGATTTATTTTTAAAAAAGGGTATTTTTATGCCAAATACCTTATTTTACTTTCAAAATTATTTCGGGTTTTTTATACTTTTTTTCAATAACATTATCCTTCACTTATTTTATCCAAAGACCACAATTTGGTATAAGTCATTAATTCTATTAGCTTCTTATGCATAAAGGTGACTGCACACACTTGTACCCAGCTTACTCCTTTTATCCTCAGTATGCTTCCTTGCGATTTGCTGGATATAGTTATTGTCAAATTATCATTGAGGTAGCATATAACTTTCTGGTTGAATTTCTTATGACTATGCAGCAAGTTTATTGAATTCATTTGTTATAATTTATAATTTTTTTCGTTTAAAGCCATACACTTATGTGGCAATTGATCTTGTAACAGCATTATACTATTGCCAACATCCTTTGCCCTGCCATCGCTTGCTATTTTACTTCTTCCATTTTCAGACAACAGAATCTAGAAGCATCGAGAAAATGGCACGTGAGGCAGTTGCTGGTCGATTGATTGCGATCGCTGAGCAGATTTTATCTGGTGGGTCGGCTGTTGCTTCTACTGGCAAAGAAGTTGATTCCCGTAAGTCCAAAAGGATGGGTGCCAATGTCCCGAATGCCTCGAACTGCATTACAGCCAGCTCAACTACGTGCAAGTCAGATGCAATTAACGAATTATATTCTCGAGATCATGTGGATCCTCTTCTATTGGCGGCTGACTTAATGGCTGTTGGACTGGTCAATGATAGTCTACCGCCAGCACTTCATATATGTAAGAAAGACATACACGTAAAAATATCTGTCTTATACCTACAGCCAGAAGGGTATTATTTTTACCTGTCAGTATGAATTAATTTCTATTTTGTGATTTCTTCCAAACGTATAGTGCGCTACAACCAAATTTAGAATATTAACGCTAATTTTTAAAGTCTCATTTAATCCTGCAGAATAAAAGGTTTCTACGTTTCTAGTTAGTGGAAGTTGCTACGACAAATTACTATTCTCCATATCTTCCTTTTGTGGACTGGTTGGTCATTGGCGTGGGTCTCTAACTTTTTGAGAAGTTCTCAACAAAATGTTGACTTGGAAACTATTCTCCTTTTCATCATTATATATGCGAAGAGAACATGGATTTCGAATAATCCCTTGATAAATTCATGTTTCTCGCCTTTCATTTAGTTTAGAAGGTAGAGACTGAAGGGCTTCGTTAGTTGGTTACTTCGGAAACCAAATGAAGCTTACTTTGGAGTTGTGAACGTAAATTTGTGCGAGTAAACTATTTACGCACCGTCCTTCAACCCCAATGAATCAGTGCTAAGCTTTCGTA